ATAAATTAGAGATAACATAAGTGCTGTGTTTCGGCTGTGTACTGGCTGTAAAATCAAGATCGTGAGCTAAGGCATATGACGTGATCCTCTTATACATCTTTTAGTGGTAAGAAGAGACTCAATTAAGCTATTATCTTTAAGTTTTTTTTTTCAATTTCGCGCTTCAAGATTTGAGGATTTTCTAGACACGCACCCTGGCCTTTTAAAACTGTGTTCAACTTTGCCGGTCCATAACTTCCTTATAAGAATCGTTTAGCAGATAAGGAAGGAATGTTTGAGACTTGTGTCCTAAAACTAATCTTCTGATGTACATCTCATTCTGAACGGCCACGGCCACTAAGTATCCTTCCCTCGTAAGGCAAAGCATTAATGGGCTGGTCATATAATGAGAAGGACAGACGACAGATGGACACTAAGAACTCTGGAATAGATCCTTCGTGAAGCAAAAAGTCCTCGAGGGAGGCCACCGCCGACCAGATGGGCTGACGTGTTGGTGGCACGGATGGACCAGCTAAATTCTCAGCTGGTAACGAGTAATGGGCCTGGACTTCGCAAACGTCGCCACCGCCCTTCAATACCAACATCGTGGATGACGCTAGCGAGAGAAGAAACGAATGGAAACAGTGCTGTGGCCTGCACGACAAGTGAAGACAGGCCATCTAAGTATCTAACAAGGGAAAGATACTTAGTCGAAGTGACGATTCAGGAAGTGATGTATGCCACTAGATACATTTCGGACGCTGATTCCAAATCTTCCTTTCATATCTGCGAAGAGTTTCTCTGGAAGAAGTTATGAGTATTTGAAAACTCCAAGCGTCAGATAAGATAGCGTCAGATAATTCGGCAGATAAGTTTCATTTTCATTCAGAGTCTTTCCAAATTTTCCGTATGCTCTCCTTCTGGGATTCCAATTTTTGCACTGAAGTCACCCACGACGAATTTGCTGGAAGAAATAAAATTTGCGGATAATTTCCTCCAAATCTTCATAGAAAGGGTCTAGTTTCGAGGTATTAGCTGCTGATGTTGGAGAATAGTATTTGATGATAGTGATGGTTTTCTGATGCAGAGAATGGAGTCGAAGGATAGCGGTGACGGGATCGCGTGCGAATCGATGGGATGGAAAACAGATGGGTTGTACGACAAATTCACGCCTCCAACGCTCCGTGGTGGAACTTTCTCACCACGGATGAGTGTGCCGTCACTTAGCTGTCGCACGTGCGTCTCTCTGCACTTTGTTTCCTGCAAGGGGTTACGTGGTAGTAATGCACCCTGCAGCTTCAAGAAAGGCGTGAAGATCGGCGTTGGTGGAAACTGTCCTGGCGTTGTAGGTGCATAGCATGAGACAATCTCCATGGCGAGTCGTTGACGTGTAGTTTAATCCGATATTTATGGCGTCCTGTGCAACCTGACACTGGTCTCGATGACATCCGACGGCGAAAGAGCTTTCCTTTCTTCAACATGATGTACATGATGTACAAACGTAAAATTTTCCTCGAACTCAGCATCCGCGGCAAGGCGACCTATTTGGATTCGTGAACTACCTAGTGACTGTTTCAGAAAAGTGGCGGCACTTTTGGTGTGGCTTAATCTTAACTGGGCATCCGGAGAACCACAAACATTTAACTCCTCTTTAGTTAGGGAGACTCTGCTGCAGAAAAAACTAAAAATGACAATAGTAGACGCAACGGCAAAGAATTCCCAAATGTCAGCGGAGTTGCGAGCTGCAACAGACTACAGTAAAATTGTCATAATAAAAAAACATGCACAGTTGGCAACTCGAGCAAAAATATAGTTCCAGCTGCTAAGCTGAAGCTACAAACGAGAATGTTGTAACAATCAGAAAAAGAACCATCTAACGCTTTTGCTATATTTATCGAACAAGTTGTTCCAGATGTTGTTGTTTCAGAATCGTGCCGCGACCTCGTTGCAAGCGGTCCAGCATCTCCCTCATCTTTTTCGCAGCTTCTCGAAGAGCAAGAGATTTGATCGCCTTTCTATTTTAAGGGCAAGCGGCAGCCTATTGGCTGCAACGATAAGTTTGATAGCTCAGAGACAACACAAGAAAAGTAACAGTGATTCTGATTCAGATGATAATATTTGTTATGTTCTAATAAATTTTACTATTTAATGGTAAACACTTTGTCAAAACACTTCATGACTGAGGTACTGCACTTATAATCCTCTAGAAGTTTTCTCAATTTACTAAATTCTTGCAGTTGCGCAGCATCAGCATTCTTCTAGAGAACACTCGAAGAGGAAAAATGAAGTTTTGCCAGTTTGGCTAACAAGGGAGGGGTACTTAGTCGAAGTGACGATCCGAGAAGCGATGTATACTATTAGATGCAGTTTCAGACGCTGATTCCAAATGTGCCTTCCATATCTGCGAAGCGTTTCTCTGGAAGAAGTTATGAGCTTTTATATATTCTAAGTGTCAGTGCCACCTCTATCAAGGAGAACCAATGCTCAGTCAACGAAATGGCGGATAGTGTAGGGTAAGTATGCCGGTTTGTTAAACTGATTGGTGCTGGTTCAATTCCTCTCACCTCCACGTAATTTTGCATTTTCTTAAGAATGTTTATTTTATTGTAATGAATGTTATTCATGAATGAATGACGCACTTTCACTTAAATGAGGTTTTATAACAATTTCAAAATGTCATTTTTTCCTGCCGTTTAAGGTTATGTATAGAAACGAAAAAAAAAAAGAAAAAAGTTTTTTTGTGCCGAAAGTAGCCTGTGCTTTTCGCCAGTAA